TTACAAAACGTTAACATGTTTCAATTTTTGGTTAGTAATGATTATTGGAGTCATTTTCCTATACAACACAATTGATAAGCTACTTTGATGATTTAGAGCTCTAGATTCTGGTTGCGTCTTCAGCTTGTAAGTTAAATAAATAAACATAAATAAACATAAATGCAAACACCCCTTTTTATAGGGCAGTCCATCATTTTTATATGACAGTCCACTAAAAGATGCTTGGAAAAAAGAAATAGTGGCAATAGACTAAGGCCCCTCAATGTACAATCACAAATACACTGTCCAAGAAATCAAAATAATCTTTAACTTTAGTTGTAACATTGGTTATAAGTAAGTGCTTTTTGTGGATGTACCTTTTATCGGAGTTTATAACTGAACACGATAAACTCACCAGATTGGCTTTAAGCTTTTTCCCTCTGCTGTGTAAATGTAACAAATTTTATGTACTTAATTTTTTTGTATTTTTTAAGTGTAATTTTGCTTAACCGTGAATAGAATGACGGTCTTTGATGAATTTGCTCAAAAATGTGGTTCTCAGTTGCAAAAAGATATTTTACCTTTGTGATTATTTCATTCGAAACACTATAGTAATGTCTAACTGCTATTGCACGGCAAGGACGCTAACACCTGACATTAACACCTGTCTGAATAGAGGGCAACAGCTGAGAACACAACACAACTCATACGTCATCCACAGGCGCTGTGGAGGGATTATTCATACTGATCTAGTAGTTCTATAGGTTTATAAACATCGTTTTCATTTAGGATTTGACTCTGAGCTTTTAGCTCAGAGTTTTTAGTAATTGTCCTACTACCCGAAGTTTGCCGATTTCATTATGTAAGAATGTATAGTTTTTTGATCATTTTAAGTGGACCCAGTAGCTGTCCTACGGCAATTTTAAAAATAGTTGCGTCTAAATCTAGTGATGAAAAATAGTGATAAATTTTACAACGAGATAAGAGTTGTTTTTTTATGTTAAATTCTTTCAACTGGATAAAAATTTTTTATCTAGATGTATGTTTTAGCTAATAATTCCCAGTAACCAATAATCTACTAACCTTGTATTTCTGTGCCAGCAATACTTATTGTTTCTTTTTCTATTATATGTTTGCGATAAATTCAACTAAGCATTCCCAACATTATGCTCGTACCTCCAAGAACATCTCAGTAAATACTAAGCCCAGATAGATTTTTTTTGCAAACTGATAATATTTTTCTATTCCAAAGCCACAAGATGGCGTGGTGTGTCGACACAGATAAGGATATATTTGTTCGGCAGAGCCTCCCTTACAACACAAGCCCTGGAATTAAATTACATCCTCTCATTAAGGGAGGCCTTGCTGTAAAGCTGCGAGATTCGCTGAAACAGGCCTTGATATTGCGTGCCATATGTGTACTATACATTCTCATTCTACACGTTTAATTTGTTTTAAATTCACGAAATTTTCATTCAATTGTAAACCGGCACTCCTCTTAAGTTGTTGTTCTCCCAGGTTGTATTTTGTTTAATCAGTGTAATCGTATTTGTAGAAAATGTTACTACGTACGTCTTTATTTTAATTTCTTTGTACCTCATCACATTCCTAGGAATAAAAGAATGTTGCATCTATAATGTTTTTAGATCAATTTTACACTTATAACAATTCAAATTCATCCAATACGTCTTTTTACTCATACTTTGAATGCGTAGTTTATGTATTTAGTAGATTTTTATGATTATATTAATTGTTCCCCGCGCTCAATAAGAATTACTGGGTTTTGTCTTTAATCGGTTTAGTTCTGCATTAAATAGCAATTGGCACTGGTTAAGAAGAACATAATAGGTATTAGGAGTTTTACGTTACGATAATAGCAAACATTCGGAAAAATAAAGTTAAAACAAAGTAGAAACTTCAATGAGGATTAATGCAACACACGAATAACTGACGTGTAAATGTTTTCCACAGAACTAAATCATGATTACATTAACAAAGACATCTTTGTATCCAACCAGCGTTTGAGAATTTTGACGAGTACGCTTACTGCATTAAGAATATGTGTTCGTTTCTGTGAAAAATGTAAATTTGATGTTACTTTTTACTGTACTTTGGTACCATCTTTCACAACGCGTTATGCAGTGCATTTCATGATTGTTTTTGTATTTGTTGTTGCTTTGGATTTTGAGAGATTGATGTAAAAATAATATTAATATTTACGTTGTGGTTCTATGTAACTGTATTTATAAAAATGTTTTTTTTTTTTGTGTCAGATATCTAATTACCACGCCCTTTAATGGGGTAACAAATTATGTTTTATGTGTTTTGTTGCAATAATTTAGATGCTGCGAATATTTTAGATACAGTAATATGGTGTCACAGTTTTAAATTAACCAAGTCAAAAGCTTATCCATCACAGACAGGTTAAATATTACCTACTTCAATACCCATTATTTAAGTATTACATTTTATACTATTGATGACTAACAATACCTATACGCATTTAAGTGCCCTACTCAAAATGTCGCACCAATATAATACTTATATGCTTATTATGCAATATCTAGATTTTTTTACGTTTGGCCGTACAGTATTTACCCCATTCAAATACTTTGCATCTAAAACAATAACCACGCAGTCGTTGATGTCCCAGTAAAACTAGGGAAAATATTAATTTATGATATTTGTAAACGACATAATTTATCACCAGCCATTTTAAAGAGGAGAGTTGACAGTTTGTTTATTGTCTCGGCAAATTCAATTGGAAAAAGAAGTATTCTGACGGGAAGTATTGATTTCCGATGGAGTTTTGTTCGCTTCTATTGTCCACTTGGTGGAAGTGATTTAATTTTGTTCAGTTTGAAGCATAACGATCGCGCGTGACGTCACTTTTAATTTCAGTGTTAAATTTGCATTTAATTTTTCGTAGAATTATTTCTGGAGTTTTGTGTTGATGATAATTATACATTTTACTTTCGATAATTGTTTTAAAAGTTTACAGTTTTACGTTATAGCAGGGGAGACATGTTTTGCTGAAGGTAGTTAAGTTTCCATAATGTGTTTGTCTCAACACCGACGTCACCCGCGCATCCATTACAACTTCCACTCACGAAGTCACACTCGAAATTAAATTTGAAATTTGCATTAGCATTACTAACACCAACTCCGTCTACATCGAGGTGTGTGTTACTCGCTGTTGCTGACGTCAATGTATCAGACGAGTAGTTATTTCGTGAACTCCTTTGTAAAAAATTAAAATACGATTGACATGCAATAAATAGTTGTTATACATGTTTACAACTAGAGCTTAATTCTAGGATTATGGAATTAAAAACTAAAAAAGTAGTTTTTTCTAATCAAACTTGTCAAAAAAGAAAACTGCGTTTATACCTAAGTGTTGTCATGTTTTGGTAGAAAAGTTATTTTAATTTATCACGTTTCTTGATCTGCATTTTCACCATCTTCAGCTTAAAAAGATTATTGGTTGATGGTACCTACCTATAGGCTTGACCAGATAAGCTCAGTGTGATTTATTAAAATCGATAGATTTAGATTTTCATCAATTATCCTACATAAGTGGCATTCCATTACCCACTGTTTAAATAAACAGAAATCAAACCGCGAAAAACATTGGTTTGGACTGTTATGCCGTGGACCAGCAGAACCCATATAGTTGTCAATGACATGTAACGTCAATGTAGTATCCAGCGTTTCGTTGTGTTTTATTTGTTAAAGTTGGCAGTCCTGTAACGACCGCGTGTCCGCCGCCATCTTGGTTGTTATGGCGGGAGATGATCGCTGTTAGTGAGCGGATAAACATCGTCAACTGCTGATTGAAGATCCTTTGTCCTTCACTGCAAATCGTCGACAATCAGATCTCTATGTTTATAACGATATATGCCACTCCACACCTCGATTAATTCGAGTTATATGTGTTTTAAGATATAGTTGAATGACCCACTTTTCACCGTCATCCAGCATCCTTTATACTTATACAAATTGTGAATCAGATTCACAATACTCACTAAACATACCTTGAAACTGTGGGTGGTATCTGTGGGTTGTATCTGTTGGAGTGAATAAAACAAATTTATATAGCACGTAATAAAGATTATTACGGATTAATTAATTCGGTTTTTTAGGATTTTTAGGTAGCAATTAGGTCCATTGCTGTATAACGAAGGCCACTTATTTGATCTTAGTCAGTAACATTTCAGTCATTCACCTCTCATTTTCACCTCAGCATTGTACTAATTGAATCAAATATTGTTCATTTATATTTGTACCATTGTATTTATAATTTTTAGAATTGTAAATATATTTATTTTTAACGTGTAATTATAACCCCTTTACCCAATCTAACTTGATGGAACTGAACGGCCTGGAAACTCAGTACGTGACACGTTACTGCAAGGGACTGACATTTCTGTCACAGACCACCTTGCCTCCGTGTGATTTATCACGAAAATTCATTTTTTCTAGTTCTTGTTTTAAAAGGTTCAGTATGTTATAATTCATTGTTTCACTTTATAATACATTTTTTCTCTTAAAAAACCTCAACAAATCATAGAGGTGAGCAATACAACACCGAACCCACCACTATTTGTGAGGATAATGTATTAAATGCAATGAGATTATACATTTTCTAAACTTTTCACCTACCTAAAAAAAAATCATGAATGCGTACTTTGCACACTAAATCATTAAACAAGAACTAAGAAATTTAAGTCTAAGTACCACGCAGTAAATATTTTCCAAGTTTTTGAATATACTGACAGTTAGGAGACTTGGGTGCATCTTTCCAGAGAGTTTGCATCTGAATTGCATATAATTTCAAACATCCTTTTCCTAAGTTGAGTTTTGGTCTCAAGTTTTTCGTAGTAAATATTTGGATTTTATCAATTGTAGAAGAAATGAATAATTGATGGAGGTCCAGGAGCCACAATTGTTGAACATAATGTTCACAGTACTTCTTATGTTACAAGGTTACTCGGTCACTCTCTACACAATGTATGTTTCAGGTACAACACCAAGGGAGGAAGAAAGTCGCAGGACAGGTAGAGGGCGGAGGGATGATCCTCGTAGACACACTCTGTCTGGGGAACATCACCACAACTACCCCACACTGGCCCGCAGTATGGACCTAGAGGTGAGTGTACCTTCACATACACTTACACATTTCTCCAGACAAGATGACCTAACCACAAAGCCTATATTTTTTTTACATTGAGTTTTATTTCTTTGATTTTTTACTTTTGAGTTCTAGCTTTCTTTATGGAAAAATTTGTCACCACATAATGTCCCTACAATATGTCTAAATGTTCCATTTAAAAGATGTGAACTAATGTGTAAAAGGAAATTGAGAATTAATTGTCCAAAGTTGGAAAAACACATTTGAAGTAATCCCAGATTGATCTGTCGATCATCCGTTGTTTACTTGTTTTATTGAGGAATTTTTTACTTTGACCACTGTTATTCGCCTACTTACAGATTCAACACAACATTTTATGACATACATTATGAATCTGAACCCCCTCTTGGGGTTTAGACAAACTCATTCCTTTTTTACATATAACAATTCTAAAGCAGGAGGAACAAGTTTTGCTATCTGAAACCAAAGCTTCTCATGTTGCCTAACTTTAAACATAAACTCTTACATAAAATATGTACTATCATCCATCTCAACTGTCTTTACCCTTATAATTCTTTAATGACAGAATTCGCACAGAAAAAAATTAATAACATAATCAAAAGAACATTAAACTAATCCAATTAATTCAGCGTAGCTCTTTATCTCGCTAAAGTCAGGCTGGAGGAACAATAGAGTTCGGAAAGAAAGGTATTAATTGAAGGATTAAAACCAAGATTGCAGAGGGCGAAGCTATCAGAGGTAGACAAAGGTACAGACTAAGACCATCATTCATCTAGTGATATCTGACTCTTCCTTCACTTCTTATTGGCTAGTTTATCTCCTTTGGTCTTATCCGATGTGCTGTCCCCATCAAAGATTACTGTTGTCAATTTCTATCTTCTAAGAAAATCCTTCCTGTAGATAAAAACAAACTACATTTATTTTGATGGTCTTTAGATAAACTCTCATTGACTTATCTTTTCTAGTTTGTGGAGTCTACATAAAAAAAAAATTGTTTACTGTGTTCATAATAAAGGAAGGTTGCAAACTTCTATGTTGTAATCAGTTTAAACTCAATATAAAATGTTCTGTGTTTACATAGAATGTGTTGGTTTCCAAAATAGTTGGCCAAAAGACATTGAAGACTTTCACTGTTATTGATTAAAAGTTATTAAACACCGTTGTTTTGAACTTTTGAATTATATTTTAAAACGGCAAAAACCTGAGTTAATGTTTTTTAGTTGGAAAGGAGCATGAAATAATTGGGATTTTAATGTAAAATCTTGTAAATTTTACATTTTAACATGTAGCCATAAGCCTTTCACTTTTACCCAGTCCAAGATTAAATGATAAGACAAAATATATTTAGTCAAACAAAAAAAAAATTTTTTAAATAAAAATGGAAAATGATCAATAGAGATGGGAGTGTTACAAATGTATGTACTCAATGTGTACAATGTTTAGCACTGTGTTGTAGTAACATATTCTCCAGTTCAACACCAACAGTCACCTAATTACTGATGCAGGAAGTAGATGACACTATCGTAACTTTAACAATGTTGTGACCCAATTTAACCACAGTTGTTGCACATCTCAGTTGTAGATAGTACAGTACAATGTGTTGGTACAAGCTTAAGCACTGTGTTGTAGTGTTTAACATCTTTTTCCGATTCATCACAATCAGTCAGTTACTGTAATTACCCATGCATGAAGTATACGGATCTTTAACTGTTGTAACCTATTCTAACCACATTTATTGTTGCACGCTGCCAGATGGGCTCCAAATCCCAACGTAGGAAGGTAAGCTTTCCGCTATTTTTAGTTTTGTTAGTTTGTTTGGAGCTCTGACTCAACCATATGCTCCCATCACCAGGATTGTGTTTATACGATCTCGTAAAACCACGGAGAGAGCTTTGGTATTTTTGGCCAGACTCTGAAACAATTATCGACTTATTTTCTTGTAACTTTCTTAAATTTCTTTCACCTCAAATGCATTGACGCTTTAGATAGGGCCTAGTTATATAGTAGATATTTTTATCATACATGATTGCAGTATAAAGAGACAAAGTTAATTTTCTTTAAATTTGTTGACTACTTACTAAAGCGCTACTCTTACAGCTTTAGTGATAAAATGCTATAGAAAATTCAGTGGTGTTTTATAAAGGTTGATCAAGAAAATTCTTAGAAAACTCGAAGTGAAAAGCGAGGAAATCACGAGTAGGAGTAAATAAATTTGAGCCATTCACTACAGCCATCCGGGAGGCTCAGAGGAATTTTATATCCATCCACCTCTGCCGTTAAGAGGTGGGTTTACCTCATGACTTATAATGATGACAGTTTTCAAGAATAACAAAGTTCAATTTATGAAAACAATAAGTCTATTTTAACCTGTATGTATTAAACACCCTCAATAATATTAAAACCTTAGTTTTTGCAATATGGCTTGGTTTTACCTACTTAAATAGTTTTATCTTATAGGAAGAAACCTTAAGCAATTTTCCACCTGTGAGCCCTATTATTTTCTAGAATACAGATGGCACAGGCATGTAGGGAGTAGCTCAACTCAATCTATTTAGCATTTAGATTAAGATGCCTGTCTGTGCATTGGTTTGGTAGAATTGTGAAACATGGAAATGAACTCAAACAGATCAAATGAGTTGCATCTTTCAATAAATGCAATACACTTTACGTCGTAGTTGTGTTAAAGAAGTAAAGGTTTAATTAAGAAGACTTTTGCTAATAAGTTTGAAAACATTATATAAAACTTGTTAATCTAAATCCTACCTCTCTCTACAAGAAATATTTGTCCTCCTTTCATGTTTGAAAATTAACAGGTAATGTTTATCCATTATTTTTATTCACTTCTATCATTACTATCTTCTATGGATATCTCTAGAATCTCTCCCACCCCAGCAGCTTCTTACGTTCTCTGTTATGTTACAGACCCCGTTGCCCAGGGGGTACCCTCCCCCCAGCACGGCCATGCTGTTTGATGATGACCCGGGGATCATGTCGGAGGTGGAGACAAGTTCTACGGGGTTCCGGAGAGGAGGGAAGCAACGGAGTTCTCTCCCTGTGGTCCGGACTCCCTCCAAAACCCTGGAGAGGCCTCTCGGTAAGTGTGGCAGAATGTAGAACTATTTGTGGTTCTATTTTTTTAAATTGAATGATTTTTTATTCCAGATTATAAAGTGATTATAAGTGATCTCTAAAGAGGTCTTAGTGAATATATGTTTCATCGTTTAATGTTTTGCCAAATCGTCCACAAAAAAATTATATTTTTTTCTGCAAAGTAAAACTTGTAAAGTATTCAAAAGATGGGTGATATTTGTTTAACTTAAGTGTTGAAACTATTTTTTTTATTTTTTCAAGATTTATTCAAGTAAATTCACTGAAAAGATGATCATGTCTCCCCAAAGTCTTTTAACATATCACCAACCATTCATCACACTCCTCTGTATGACAAGCCTTTTGACACCTGGCTGTGAATGTGTGCGTTATACGAGATACTATATCATTAATAATAACTTGCTTAACATTTTTCATTATTTTTTGGATAAGAAATATATGGGAACAAATCAACTATACATTTATTTCTTTAAAAAATAATCCTTGGAGTGAAAATACTTGGAGTGAATCAAGGAATCTTGAATTTACATGAAATTTTGCCATTAAACAAAATGTTAAGATATTTTAAATCAAAATTAGCATTTATATAACGAAAATAAAATATTGTGGAACTCATTTTCTCAAATGACCAAATGTACTTATTCTTTATTCAAGCTTTTAATATAGCTAGTCTCACTTTTATGCCTTCTCTTTTTAACACCTAAATACACATTTGGTTAGCCTTATAAATAACTATTGATGCTACAAGATCAAATGTTAATTAATATAAGACATTGACTTCAACCTTTACTTGTAGTCACTAACAAGTCATATTGTATGTTTGTATTGAGAACTTATCAGCAATCAACTAACCAGGTACACAGCTAACTTGGTGTTTGGAACTAACACTCGTAACTTACTAAACAACTTTGCAACTTGGGGCTTTGTGTGTAAACACTTGTGTGGGATAGTTGGGCTTGCCACAACATCACAACATTGACCATGTTTGTCCACAACGCTGTGTTAGTTTTCAGAACTAGATACCCTTGGTTTGTTGCTGTGATTGTTGTTTGTGCAGATAATCTGTGTGAATGCAACCATACTAAACTATAAAATCAAATTGTGATTAGCATTGACACTACCAGTATGAGCAGATCATAGTTTACAAACAAAGTACCTTTACACAAGTTCACTGAATGAACCTTTAGAGTGAGTTATTTAATGACTGATCAGAATTTAGTACTATTTTATATGAACTCGTTTAGGATATACCAGATCGGATTGGGATTTTTTTTTATTTCCATCTTCAAGAAATTAGTAACAAAACACACTTACGTTTGGTTTTTATTTTTTTTATGAGAATTTTGAAACTTTAGTGAACACAAGGATTTGTAAGGAAACTGGAGATAAACAAATTAGTGTTCCTATGCTAAGCATTCATGTATTTCCCTCTAAGGTATTAGTTAATGAATTTTCCTGAGTTAATTGAAAGTTTCCTGCTAACAAGGAACTACACAATTTGTAATAGGCCTATGTAGTGTTATTCTATGCCTATCACTCATCAAGTTTCACAAAGGTATCAGAGAATTTTACAGCCAGTGTCATATCATTAGAAAAGCCATTAAGTTTTTAGAATCCAAACAAATTCTTTTTTTCAAATAATATAATCTTAGAACGGAAAATTAACTGACAAAATAGTATACAAATATTTCACTGTTCCGATAAATCCTTGAGAAGACTCGAATGTTGGGTCTCATGAAAAATGCAATGTCATATTCTTAACACGACAACCTTTGAAAATATCAAATAAAACATTATAAGGAATTCATCGTGTAGTGATGATGTGTTCATCATTATTATGGTATTTTGAGTAATGTAAAGCATATTACTCTGACCCATTGAATCTTGAAAGAGCATTGCGGATTTTTATAGCTGAACAGGAACACTTATAAACCATACTTCAGAACGCTAAAGACCTTTTGGAGCTCTGTTTGTGATATGACACTGATTGTTATGGAGGCCAGGTTATGTTTATAAACTATTGTGAGGTATTGTGGGAGGTGTTGTGTTGCACGCAGCGGCCGGGCCGCCTTCGCGCCGTCCTGAGGTCGCCGGCGCAACGCTGATGTACCACGGCGCACCGACCCACTGCGGTATGATCAGGCACAATCCCCCTGCCTTGCCACTTGCTACTCGCTTGCACGTTCGCTATCTGCTAGGAGTCTACACATGATGGTTTTTTGCTATTGTGACAAATACAGTATAAACTAATGTGGATAGAAAGCAATTGAAATGTTTAAGTCAAACTGAGCATAAAGAAAATATAATTTATAACTCTTGCATAAGGTTTGAGACAGTATAACTTAGCTTTCAAGCCATTGCATTTGTGCAACATTAAAAAAAGTTAGTGTAAAAAATTGTTTTATTTGTTAAGTTGAGGAATTGTTGATTATTAAAACAGTTCTATTTACGTTAATTTAAGTAGATGCCCCAGATCTTAGCTCTTTTGAAGTAGATAGAACACCTACTCAACTCTTACAAATGATGCCACAAAAAAGATGAATAGCGCATCCAAAAATTATCATAAGCAAAGAAAAATATCCTTGCTTGTATTACAGGCGTTAGTATTATTACATAAAATAAATTATTTTCACATTCATCATAACTCAATCTGACTTCTCCTTTCAAATTTTCATTTGGAATCATAAATTTTCTTTAAGTCAATTTATTGTCACTCCTCACTTATCGTCTAATCAAACCACTATATTAATCACGTATTAAAGTTTTCTGAACTTAAATTGTAATTGAATTCTAAATATTCCCTGACATGTTTAGCTATTCCAAATGTGAAGGACGTTTAAGGTGTAAACAAGCCATGTGTAGGCTCCTAGACGCAGCCTTGCTTCCTGCTACTTGTGGTGGTGGTCTGTTTGTCTCCCGGGCTGATATGTAATTTAGTTTACACTCGTAACACTGTAAATAAGTTGACTGTACATATTGAATTGTATTTTACAGGTAGAGGTAAAATGTTTACGTTATAATCTGGTTGGGTCAGTTGCTGAGTCAATTTAATTATGGTTACTGAAATAGACTTCCCGTATGGATCAGCTGTATCGAGTTTGTGTGGGTCAGGGTTAACTGTTTGACAAAATTTGGTGTTGGTAAAATGTATTTAATAAAGCAAGTATTTTGTGTATTCCAAAAGTAGAAATTTATTACATTACAATCAATCAATGAAGTTTTAGTCAAACCTAGTTCTACGCTAATGTACCGTAGTTAATCTCCATACCCTGAAAATAAATAGGAATGTCTAATCCATCACTTTAACATTAATAAGCATAAAGGCTAAAATACTTTACAATCAAGGTTAAGGTTCCAATGAAGTTCTTTAATTTATTACTTTAGATCCAAACAGATCGTTTATTTATACCTTGTCCATTTCTTATTATTGATATTACTTACAAATATTTCATACACAGACAATAATAGACACAATTTCGGCTAAAATCCAACTTGAAATTACCAAACCAGTTTTAATCAGATTCTAAACTGATTAACCACTATAAACATGGATCATTAGACAATGAAGATTAACTTATACCTTTGTGATTACAGTTTGTCGAACCTGATTTAAAATTGTATCGGACTAAAAAATTAATCCGTGATTGGACAGTGTTTACAATTGAAAAATAAATTAATGACCGAACTGAGCCAAATCCGCAATTAGTGGGACTGATTGGCTGATCTCATGATTTGTGGACTGTTGTGTTGCAATTGGATAAACCTCTCTAAATTGAACCTTCATATTTTTTTTTTATTTTGTAAATACAGAGGTAATTTAAGCCATTCAAGGTAATACTTGTAACCACTATAGCACCTCTTTTTTAATATGACTTTTTTATTGCTTTTATTTTCCACTTGTAGATTAATTGTCATTGTTGAAAATTCAGTTAACCAGTTATTTGGTTTATTTTCGGATATGACCACTGTACGAACTATACTGTACTTCAAAAGTACGTTAGAGAAATGTCAATAAACTGTCCAACAAGTTATCATTGCTATAGAGCAAAAATAATTGGTGCCAATCAAACCAATGGAGTTAATTACAAATGAAAGTGGTCAATTAGTTGATAGTCTTGAGAATGAACTTCTCTCGATGAGAAAAAAGCAAACATCTACATAACACATCTATATCTATTTCTATATAAGATATTATGTAATAATAATACAGCTCTTTTTGGTATTTTAATATTCTGTTCGCGTTTATATTCCTCATGTAGATTTTTTCATTGTCGGCAATCCAGGTTATGAGTGTTATAGAATAATATCCTTCCACAATATGTTTCCAGAATAATGTCATTTTTTTCTGTATTTACTTTTATGACTAATAATGGTATAAACGTACCTTGTCAGACAATCATTAACATAAAATGCAATCCGGGGGCTATCAAAATGTGTTATATTTACTTTTTCCTAGTAAAATTTCACCCCACCAAGATTGTGATTTTACATATTTAAATTATTAAAATCCATTTTGACTTTGGAACATAAAAGCCCCTGAACTGCTGGCATGGCGTAATAATACTTATATAACTATTTTGTCAGTCCAGCTCATTATCACTCAAATTTGCAAATTTGTTGATGTTAAGACATCAAAGCAGGTATCAGTGCAGTTCTCTGACCGGTGGTATTGTTATATAATTTAAACACAATAATACATACATTTCTCATTGTTAGATTTCATAAACAAATTACAAGAAATCAGATACATGTTGAGATAATCAAAGACTGCTCTGCATTATATTGTGTTTAAAAGTACTTTACGATGCAACGGGCTGAAGAACTTCACCAGTACCTGCTGATGGTGACCTTACATGAAAATATTTATAGATAAAACATATTGAGCTATACTGACAGAATAATTATGTGAGTATAATATTTTTACACTAATTAACAAAACCATCCTCAGAGTCTGAAATTTTAACCTGTAAATGAAATTCCAGAATATAAATCATCTTTGCTTTTATTGAAATTACAGACTAGGTTGCTTTGCATACAAGTTTAAACGAAGACTGAGATGATTCTGCCAAAGTGTGTAAATATTTCCCATGAAAAATTGTTGTTTCCATGTAAATATCACGTACAGTACAATATTAGATGTAGTATTTGTCACATTCTGCATGGAGCAACCACTACCTAGCCAACAGGAAGTTGCTCTACCCTGGTGATGGTCTTATAGTTGAACATTAAACTGCTCATTAGTTGATTATTTTATTTGTTATATTTTCAGAATAAAAAGTAAGTAGCTCATTTTATGTATACCTGTTTAACATAACTAAAAAAGTCTAACTCAGTTCGTATGTGAAATAAATGTTTAAAAGTCAAACTTTGAGAGATGTATAAAAATAAAAATAAAATAATTTTTAGGTACTCTATAAATCTTCAAAGTACATTTTATTTTGGGAGGAGTCATGCTACGGACTTGAAACATAATTCCTATCCATCACAAGTTAGTTTCCTCTTTCTTTCAGGCTTTATCATTATTTCCTTGTCATTTCCATTCCCAGTCATGATTCGTGCCTTGAACCTTTTGTAGCAGCATTGCATACCAATTAATCATCTGTTTTCCTTTTGGTGTGTTACTCTTCAAACCATTAAAACGTTTCTTAACAGTCTGCAACTGCATTCCACCTTAAGCTTCATCAAAGTAGTAATTCATTATTAAAATGCACTATAGACTGAAGGTTCAATTCCTATCCTGCGACTGTTACGACTCTAGTCGCGCGACTCTAGCCGCGCGTTTAGAGCTGTACGGCTCGAGACGCTTGTCTTAATTCCTATGCAGCGACTCCTGCGACTCCCACGACTAGTGAGTAGTGCAATTGCACTCTTGAGCGTCTCATGGAATAAGCACAGTTGGCAGCGAATATATTACTTGGAGAAGATTATGGTAAAAAACAATGAACAACCTAATCCATTGTTCATGGTACGGCAAAAAAAGGGATTTAAGAATATTTTCTCATTCAGAGACATCTTCTTAAAATATTGGAAATTCTTGGGGTTGAAAACGTATGGGTGGTGACGAACCAGTTCCATCCATATGAAGGTGCACACCTCAAACTCCGTATGTTAAACTATAAATTCGTTACAGCCGCGCGACTGAACTGCTCACGGAGCAGTCCAGTCGCGACGGCTCTAGCCGCTCGGCTTCATTCGCTCCAGTCGCGCGGCTGTAGACGCTCGATAGGAATCGGGTGCATTTACTTTGCATTAAAGCAGTTATTTATTTCAGCCGCGCCGACTAGAGCCGTGCGACTAGAGTCGTAACAGTCGCAGGATAGGAATTTGACCTTAAACGTATTATCTAACTTTTCACGATGAGCTCAGAGTTTTTATTGGTTGGCTGGTTGTCTTTAAGTAATTTAATTTAATTCCCTCAAAATAAATAGTATTGGTTACAAGTTTAGAGTAAAGCGGAAGTAAACATGTTTGGATGTATTTAAACATTTTTCATTCATAAATTGAATAAAAATCTTAAAAACGTGTGTTAAACTATTAAAACGTTTAGTTTTGTAGGGGCTTTTTGTTATATATAGAGTTAAAAAATGTTTTATCAAAACCAAATTACAGTTTTATCAACAGTTAGTAAAAATTTTTGTTGGCCAAATTTAAGTGGTTCTACATATCCTTCTTTGAGCCTTTAAGAACATTAATTAAAACAAGGTATGTTACGAATTCCAGAATAATATTCATTATCAAATTTGTGACCAAATCACAAAAGCAATCAAAATATCACATAGAAGGTTGATAGCGTTGGAACTTATTATAGACAGTCAATAAAGGAAGCAGAGTATACATATTATTTAATCTGAGTCTGTGGGTAAGTGCTACCATAGACAAAAAGAATGATATATATATACCGTCAGCCGTGCTGTGTTTACCATAGGTTCTGGCACACACCGCTGGGCGCGCCATGTAGTTACGGCGTACGCGCTACGTAACTACAGGACGCTCCCAGTGGTGTGCGCCAGAACGTATGGTAACCATAGTAACCGCAGCACGGCTGACAGTCTATATTTAATTCTTTTTGTCTATGGTGCTACAAAAAAAAGCCATGTTTTTTATGCCTTGGGTTCGCATCACAGTTTTGTTTAAAATTTATCAGTTGTACTTTACGGACTCCCTAGCTTTGTTTGATTTGTCCCACATAAATGCCTCTAAAGCTCATGTTGACAGACAACTTCCAGTTTAAAAGTGTTATCACCCCCTTAAAAAAAATGTTTTGTTAAAATAAAAACTTTATGACACATAATATCTTCAAATCTGGCGAAGAGATTTAAAATCACGTATGATTATTTTGTTTGATGCTGTTGTTAAGATTTAAATTCATGATTGGATTCTTGTAAGCTCAAACTGTAATGTAAAGTTTCATTGGATATTTGAATTTGTTTTAACTAATAGAATTAATCTAAAACAGCCCTACTGTTGATTATTGCCAACCAGTTCTATTATTGGTCGCTTTTCAGAATTTATTATAGTATCATTTGGTTTCAACCACATACCATTTCATATTATACCATATAGGCCTATATGTATTTTTAATTGACAAGCAAGATTGTATAACTTCTTAAAGTCTTATTATATACAATGAATTGAACAATTATATTTTGTAAATAAAAATTACAATTTTTAATTAGAACATTAGATTAGGTTGAATAACAAACTTTAGGTTATTTTTGTGTTATTTAGTGTTAATGCTTGCTTGAATTCAATAGAGTCCTTATAATCTTGCTTATCAATTACTTTAATGTCAGTCATACATCTGTGTTGCTTTTTGTGTTGTCTTCCTTAAAACACTCTTCTGTAAAATTGTGTTATTATTATTTGGTCTTAATTTTGAGTTCAAACAAAATACAAACAAAAATTACACCTTCTTCAAAAATCTTTGTGGCCCTACATCGAAATCAAGAATTATCAACCAACAAGTTATAACATTATTTTATAACAATAAACTAGGTAAATCCAATAAAGTGTTTTAGGTAGTATTAAACTAATTTTCAACGGTAAAAATCATGCAAAATTAATTAAATTAAGAACACTCTTCTAATACAAAATATAGTTTCCTTATTCATCATAAGACATTGGGTGGATAAACCTGTAATTGTTTAAAATTTCTGAAATTAGTTTTAAATAATGTACTGTACAAAGAAGAACTGTGATTTAAAATAGCCATTTTTAGTATTATCGAGTATTATATTTTCAAAGCTTGTAATTGAGTTTTCACAGTGATTTTAAGATCCTTTATATTAAATATTGAAATAACCTACATAGATATAAATCTGCAAACAATTAATAAATCCTACACCGGGCTTAGAGTGATTATGTCAAATACTTGTACTTCGACTAAGAACAAGACACATTTTTATGCTCTAATATTATTTTACTTTTTGGATTTTTTTATACACAAAGTAATCTAAAGCAAATTTACATGAAAGCCATTTTTAAATTTTTCTCATATTTCCAGAAGAGTGTGCCAATCCCCCCATTCTATCGCTTATACCTGCTTGATTGTGTTACCCATTTCCCTATAAGATTGTGCCTGAACATGCCATTAAATAAAGTTTTTAACTATCAAATAATGTAATCAAAATTAAAATTAAGATTCATCATTGAATTGGTTTAATATTTTCAACCTCAACCTCTTCCCATCCCTCACTCCTATCTTTTTCTTCCACAATAGAAAACTGGGTATTTTGATGTGATTAGGAAATTATTTCAGTATATAAAAAATTTTAGAGAACTTTAAATGCAATGAAGCAAAAAAAAAATCACTTTGGTTCTAATTTTAGGATAGTCTATTTCACAACATAACTTATCCATTGATTATGAAAAACCACTTAAACCCACCTTTAAATTTAATGCCACAACTATGTAAAGTAATTTATTTCTCTAATTTTATTTTTACCATCATTTTTATTTTAATCGTTATAAAAATCTTTTGGTGTCACTAATTGCTATTTAAAATGTTAATTTTTTTACTTAAAGAGATAAAATCTCATAATTTTGTTAAATACTTTACCACTTTTTGTTAATGGTAACAGAACCTTAACATCATTGATACCAATAAAAAAATTTGGTTCCATTATTATTATTGATTAACTTAAAAGTAAATCAAATAATTTTTAAGTCGGTACGTTAAACAAAAATTTCTAAAAAACTACATTTTATGTGTTTTATTTTTTCATCCGTCATCCTTTTAAAATATGTATATTCTCTAATAAATTTTTGTATTTGACAGATGATAAATACCTTACTCAAGCCTAGTTTCAAGTACCATACTCTATTTCACCATAAACAAAACAGTCCTCTGTACAAAACACAAAGCAGTGTGAAATAAGGAAAATATATTTTTTCTGCTGTTTCTGTTCTAAAATAGCTATTCTGAGTAAATAATTTATATTGTATGTACAATTTGTTTTGCCACTGACCACTTCAATTCAATTTGAGCTCACTATAAGATTATGTCACTTTACAGCAGTACTAGAAATATCATGTACTATCATACTAATGTTTTAAATGTGAACGTTTGTTAAGAATAAAAATTAGTTTAAATAGTCAATTTTATTAATTATCTGAATTATAAACATGGGAGAAAATTAGAATAAAATGCTGACTGTTCGTTATATAAACAATTTCTCTCCTTACCAACATCTATTTAAAAAAAATTTGATCAAGTAAAAAATGTAATCATAGAGTTGAATTAAAATATAACCCTTCCAAAAATTAAAATGGTAGTTTAAGCTGCACAATACAAAATAAAGATTGAAAAATGATCAATAAAATCCCTATTTTACTATTTAACTTTTTCTGTGCTGTATTTAATATTTTGTTACATGTTCACAATGTTTGCTATGTTTGTCAAAATCATTGTAAAACATTGTAGATACCCTTAGCTGTATCTACCTAGACTTCCCCCCCCCCCCTTTTTGAGATTCCGATGTCATGACTTTGTGAATTAATTTATTAAAACAATTCTTCATCCCCTGAATAAAAAAAAATGGCTATCAATATCTTTTTACTTTTATAATTTTTTATAGTAGCTAACCAGGTTTCCGTATCTTCTACCCCTCTCATGCTCCAGTTTCATGTTTCCCCTCATCATCATCTCATGTTGGTCGCTGTTACAGGTCTAGTGTTCCTGCAGTACCGTAGCGAGACCAAGCGAGCGCTGCTTCCCAACGAGATCACCTCCATAGACACAGTCAAGGCGTTGTTTGTCCGATCCTTCCCCAAACAGCTGACCATGGAATATCTTGACTCTCCTTTGGTCAAGATATACATCCACGACTCCTCGAAGGACATGTTCTACGAGCTGGAGGATCTCAGGTATTAAATCTTTCTCTTGTTCATTATATAATGTCAATAGCTATTGGATACTAGAGTACACTTTCCATATATAGATTCCTATATTGATCAAATGAAGCCACTTTTGTTGTCAGACTCTTTAAAGGTTGTATTTTACAGTCGACATAGGACACATATCCAGCTAAAATGGGATGAACGGATTCAGCACACCCACACAAAATGAAGACTGAAAGAACTAATCACAGATTGTGCTGAAAGTCTATTCTATTTTCATTTTGCCTTTTATTTTGGTACAAACAGTTTATATGACATTAATTTAGTCTACAATAAGTTGTTCTTTCCGTTTTTCTTGGTTAAAAAGTTGGCGTATTGAATAGTTATCAGTAATTTATCCCTGCATAAGTTACCTGTGGCTCAATTAATCTATGTGGTTACAACTAGCATTGGAATGGAATGTCCAGTTATGTCCCATTGTCAAATGTATTAGTTGATTAATTATTAGGTTTACCACAGTAAGGTGTAGTGGTTTTACAGACCAACAAACTCTGAACTGCAGTTCATTTGGAAGTTATGTTGCTTTAAAGTACCTTTATCTAAAATTTATTATACTCTAGATCAATGTTGTAGGCCTCTGAATTACACAGCTCAATTGTAGGTCCCTGTATCACAGGGATCAATTATAAATCTCTATGTATCACACAAATCGTAGGTCTCTGTATTACACAGATAAATTGCAAATCTCTACGTACAGATTGTAGGTCTCTATATCATACAGACCAATTATTTCAAATCTCTCTCTATCACACAGATGAATATTGTAAATCTCTCTGCATCATACATATCAATATTGTAAATCTCTCTGTATCACGTAGATCAATTATAAATCTCTCTGTATCACGTAGATCAATTATTTAAATCTCTCTGTATTACACAGATCAATATTGTAAATCTATCTGTTTCACACAGATCAATTGTAAATCTCTCTGCATCACACATATCAATATTGTAAATCTCTCTGTATCACGTAGATCAATTATAAATCTCTCTGTATCACGTAGATCAATTATTTAAATCTCTCTGTATTACACAGATCAATATTGTAAATCTATCTGTTTCACACAGATCAATTGTAAATCTCTCTGCATCACACGGATCAATATTTTAAATCTCTCTGTATCACACAGATCAATATTTTAAATCTCTCTGTATCACACATATCAAAATTGTACACCTCTGTATTACACAGAGCAATTAAAAATGAGGCTAGATCAATGTATCTAATTGACTGCCTGTGCATAATAACAGCTATAAATGAGCATTGGACAGGAACGCTAAACCGATGTCACTAGAGGATTTATAACCTGCCTGTCAGTTGCAATCAATTAATTGAATTGCTGTAAACTCTACAACTGTGTTACTGTATATTACTTCTTGGTCATTACTTTGTATAATTAAACACCACAACTGGTATGTCAAAGAGCTGAGTAGTAAAAGAGTTGACTTACGTATCAGAAGATTGCCAGCAATAAAGCAATGTAGAATCGTTGGTTACAGCTTAGTAGAATCTCACAGGTTACTGGCAGATGACAAACACAGATAACTAACTTTGTGTTTCTGAATAAAACCATCCACCACAATTCACACTGACACCAAGCGTAGCCCGTTCTCACTTAGTTGTTACAACAGACATTGGATACATTTTCTCAAATCATGATGAATATAAAATACTACCTTGGAAGATTTGATTTACCTGTTTGCGTAATGTTGCAGTTTCAAAAATTTGTTATGAGAATTTCAAAGCCAAAGTATATTTTAATGATAAAAAGGAATACATTAATCTATGATTTCGATTTGGTGTCATGTTACAGTTGGTCGACCTTGTGATATGTATTCTAACTATAAATAAAATTTTTGTTAGTGTCAACACAAGGCCCCAGGCCCTGCTAGAAAAAACAGGCCATTCTGCAACGCGGGAGCGCAACACTACATCACAGTGGTTGATATTTGTACAGTCTAACCTTGATATAACGAACCTCGATACAACGAATTCCTTGATATAACGAATTTTTTTAAATCCCCTAGAACTCTCCATAAGACACAATGTATATTTTACCTCTACATAACAAACAAACCATAACAACGACCTTGATTTAACAAATTTTTCGTGATTTCGGCTAAAATAAGACACCTCAATATAGCGAACTTATCATTGTCAGAACCTCTACATTGCGAATTTAACCTCTGCATAACGAATTGTGTACGTCTTTCCCTCAATATAACAAATCCCCCACCCCAATATTGTTTTTGAAAAATCTGTTTCTTTATAAAATGAAATAGAAAGGTGACGTCATCGCTTGCGCTAACATTCGTCTGCTCCGTTTTACACATATCTGTCTGCTGTCGCTGAGCGGGCTATGTTGCAACTGAGAACTGATTTCATTCATTGAGGACTGATGATGACGTAATGTTTAGTAAGCTGTGATTGGGCGATAAGTAAGTATGGTGAATTGTACAATTTTTGGAAAAGAGAAACCTAAGAAAGAATATAAAAACAAAACCAAAGAGAAAAAGAATAGCAACATCGTTATTTTAACATTCCTTTTCGAGTGTTTTTATTATCTTTAAGTTGGCTATGATTATACACTTTTATAATGACTTATCTAATAATTTACTGTATTGTTTTCAATACGATTTGTTTCATCTAGCAACACCAATGCTATAGTTTAATGATTATTATTGACATTCCTCTGTTGTGATAAATCAGTACTGTACTGTAAGCAGCCTACCGGCCTATCACGAGCAGTAGCTTACAAAACTTTCTACAGTACTACTGTTTTGTTTTGTTCTTTACATGGTTTATGACTACTCAATACAGTGTTTGGCTAGGTTTTAGGAGGGTTCTAACAAGCTGTGATTTTAAACTTACAGTTTTTAACCTGTACCAAGGTCAATGCCATTGTCATGATTGCGCAATATTCAAGATCCCTCCCCTTTATTTTGCCGGATAATTTAGGTTCTACTGTACAATATAAACACTGTACTGTAAAGTATTGTAGCCTATGCTACTTTAATTGTGTTTTAATGATGTCTAATCCCGACCTATATTGACCGACGCTGGTTCTGAACCTCGACTTAGCAAAATTCCTGCAAACATAACCTCTATATAACGAACCTTGTTTTAACGAAATCCTTGATATAACGAATATTCAGTTCGGTCCCTTCAGATTCGTTATACTGAGGTTGGACTGTACTCAAATCTTGTTGTTAAAATCTGACAAAGAGCCAGCTTATTTACCTAAAACATATGGCTTACGGCATTGAATCTATCAATGAATCTATCCACAACTGTGACATCATGGATCCTGCAGCATGGTCTGTTTTTCTAGTGGGGCCTTGGTCAACACAACTGGCTTTTTGTACAAAAGTAACTCAAACAATTTCAAGCAAAAACCGTCCAAACTCCTCAAATTGTTGTAAATTTTTTATCAAACCCATCCCTTCTGTATAGAAGTACGAGACAATAACCACTGAGCTAGTAACACCTCCTTTATGAGAGAAAGCCACTAACTCTATTGTATAAACTAAATTAAAGAGGATTATTTCAGACTTAAGTTGAATTGTTATATTTTTTTATGATGTTTGGCCTGAGTTGTTATATTAACCAATTGTTTTAAATGTAAAAAACGATCAAAATATAGACAATAATTTGTTTGGTTACAGCTAATTTAAGTTACTCTGTGTGTTGCAGGTCTCATTTGAGAGATATCCGGGACCGCTCGGTGTTGCGGTTGTTTGAGTCGGCCGACGTCGGCGGAGGAGCGATGCCGCCAGGGATCATACCTCCTCAGACGTGGGACCAGGACCAATCGTACTTCAGTGAACCAGAGTTTGACTCCGAGTACCAACATCAGCACATCCACAAAACTAAGGTAAGTCACTTTACAAATATCTCTGTGTACTTATTTCACGGCACTAAATACCTTACTTATACCTTGGAGAGTTTTGACCATTGACTTTATAAGTTTTAACTTCTTCAGTTTTCTATACTACACCCATCCTCCTCAACCACAAAAACTAAGCCTCCTTAGGTCATCCTGTGCTTATTTTAGAAGTATTAAATCAAGGCTTCCTTTCATCTTCCTTCCTCTAAGTCGATCCTCAATGTAGTATTGGAAATTTACTTTTATCATGTTCCTTGAAAGTGTTATTCAAGGAATTGTTAATGTAACTGACCATGGCACTCCTTTCTTGTGCAGTTGGCTAGTAGTGGAATCATTTTAGTGTTGAACCCCAACAAAATTGCAACACGAGCAATTTTTTTTTTTATGATAGCTAAGAGTGCCCTTAATAAGCCCTCAAAAATCGCCATAAATCGTACCTTGGCAACATGCCCTAAAATTCAAAATGGCCACCAAGATGGCTGTCAAAATATATATTTTGGCATAATCTCGAGAACGGTTAGTTTTATCAAAAACGTTATTTTAGCAAATATGTAGCTCTTTTAATGCCGATCAGTTTTTATGTATGCATTTTGTCTGTCAGACGTATGGTATGGCCGCAATTTGAAGAGCCGTACTTCATTATAATCTGCCTTTTTCACAAAAATTCAAAATTTTCATTTTTGATGACTTAATGTAAGAAAATACAAATTGTATGTCAAAATAATTTAAAAGTTGTTTGCCATGTGGTCTCCTACTTATTTTTAGTTTTTACACAGTCGCTTTCTTTCCTTTAGTGCTACAGAGTCGCTGACAGCTTCTCATTTTACTTATCTATTGGTGTAATATTACAACAAATTACAACTTGCTATTCAGAAGTGACAAACGACTTTCAGATCATGTTTATAACATTAACAAAATTAGATCCTCACTTGGACAAGATTGAGCTAATCTCTATTAGCTCTGCACGCCTATACAGGGTGCGACACAACTTCGAGGATTTTTCACATCGGAAAACTATCTGTATTCAACAGAACATTAGAAGACGAGTATTTTCAGGGTCTGCTGTCATCTTTCAGCTCACCAAATCTGAGTTCAGATCAAGTTGAAGAAATCGGTCTGAAACTAATGGTTAGTCTGTTCAATGGGAATAAGAACGAATCAATGAACACATGTAGATACAAAAGTATTTTGTCAAAATTAAAAAAAGCTAAAAGCTTTGTAAAGCCTCAGCAACTTCCTTCAACAGAGTCAGCAGTAAAGTTTCATAGTCTGCGTGCCTATTTACAAATTCAAATATGGAAAAGGGCAGAAGATAGTATGATAACTACAGACTGGGGATGGACTTTGCAGGACAACATGTATGTGCCCCAAACAATGGATTTGCCAGCAGCACCAGAGACATATAGTCCAGTCAATGAATGATCCAAAAGTAGGTGTAGAGTGCGTGAGCAGGTAACTAAGCGATTCCTTCAGAAACTTGTTCAGGGGGCTTAGAGTGTTAACATATCAAAAGTCCTGACTCCTAGGTGGTGAGCCAGGGGGTGGAGGGGGGAAAAAGGGGGGGGAAAGGTACGCATTTTGGGTTTTTTTATTATATCTCGAAAACTATCAACTTTTTGTATACTATAGTAAATTTAAAAATTGAAGAAGATTAAATTTTCTACAAGAAAAGTATATAATGTGTTTATTTTGGTTCAACAGATTACGAGTTATAACGTATTTAATTGATATCTTATTAAAATACTCCTTCCATAAGAAATACATGTAAATTAGTATGCGAAATGGGGCGAATCCTATCCGCCCAAAGGAAATATAACTGATGTTCTGGAAATCTTGACAAAATTTCCAGTAATTTGACACTTTAATCATGAAATTTTGGCAAAAATTAAAGCGAGGGTGAGCGTTTAAAAATAGGATGATTTAAGGTTTTTTTTATATTTCCAATAAAAAAACACCAAAACTCGACATTTTGTTACCTCGCCCTCGCCTTAATTTTGGATCAATTTTAATGATTAAAGTGTCAAATTACTGGAAATGTTGTCAAGATTTCCATAATATCATTTATATTTCCTTTGGGCGGATAGGATTCGCCCCATTTCGCATACTAATTTACATGTATTTCTTATGGAAGGAGTATTTTAATAAGATATCAATTAAATAAGTTATAACTCGTAATCTGTTGAACCAAAATAAACACATTATATACTTTTCTTGTAGAAAATTTAATCTTCTTCAATTTTATAATTTACTATAGTATACAAAAAGTTGATAGTTTTCGAGATATAATCAAAAAACCCAAAATGCGTACCTTTCCCCCCCCCTTTTTCCCCCCTCCACCCCCTGGCACACCACCTAGGAGTCAGGACTTTTGATATGTTAACACCCTAAGCCCCCTGAACAAGTTTCTGAAGGAATCGCTTAGTTACCTGCTCACGCACTCTACACCTCATTCCTTGACTGGACTAATAGTTAAAAATGATTAGATGCAATTGCAAAACTCCTTGTAATTCAATGAGATGTGTGTGTAACAAAAATTGATTCAACTGCACTATTTCCTGTGGTAATTGTTTAGAAAACAATTGTGAAAACAGTCTCCAGTTTTCGTTGGACAAAGAAAAAGTCGATGAGAATAGTATTTTTGAAAATGTTGACTAAACTTTTAAACCATTTGGCCAAATTATGTTAACACTATGGTAAAACTACGTTTATATGTTCATGTTGTACATATTGTATATAGGGATCTTTTTATTTTGTAGTATTGAATAAAATTGTATGATGCCCTAATTTACCTCAATATTGCATATACAGGGGTGTTTTTTTTTTATCATGCATTGTTGTAAGTTGTGTGGTACATAACATATATTTTTTTATTACATATCCATATTCTGGCTTCTTACTTATCCCTTAAAATGGGAGATTATTTAAATCATGCAAAAAAAATTGTTCATGATCATAAATTCCCAAGTAAAACTGAAAATAAGTAGGAAACCACACGGCAAACAACTTTTAATTATAATGTTTTCACGTACAATTTGTATTTTCTAACATTAAGTCATAAAAAAATGAAATTTGGAATTTTTTGTGAAAAAGGCAGATTATAATGAAGTACGGCTCTTCAAATTGCGGCCATACCATACGTCTGACAGACAAAAGGCATGTATAAAAACTGATTGGCATTAAGAGCTACATATTTGCTAAAATAACGTTTTTGATAAAACTAACCGTTCTCGAGATATATGCCAAAATATATATTTTGGCAGCCCTCTTGGCGGCCATTTTGAATTTTTGGGCTTTTTGCCAAGGTACGATTGATGGCGATTTTTTAAGGGTTATTAAAGACACTCATAGCTATCATAAAAAAAAAAATTGGTTGTGTTGCAATTTTGTTGGGGTTAGGTCAAATTTTCTCATACAGTAGAACCTCTTTAATCCGAACCCCTGTAATCCGAACGTCCACTAATCCGAACCCCTCATTGCTGTACTCTATACACAGTACAGCCAGGGGTGCCCATCCCCCCCTAGACTCATGACGCACCCCCCCCCCTAAATTGAGCAACAGCCCCCCCCCCCCCACCATAAATGAGGTACACAACAAATGAGAAACATTATTCCCCCGCCCAGTACTATTTGTTAAACTAAAAGAAGTTTTATACATTTTTCTTATTTAAAATATATGATATTTAAAATTCAAGCCCAGTTAATCTATACTGTATAAATAAAGTTATAGCACAGACAATATAAAGTATTATATTGTCTGTGGTTATAGTTTTGTCTGTACATTGCTCAGAACTATACATATTTTGGGCTATTTTTACGTTTATACATTGAAGAAGTTGAAACATGTCTTATCTCAATTTATGTATGTCTGTCACGGCCCAGAAGGCATTTTACGTAGCCTACTCTAAAGAAAACTAGAGTACCGATTATGATTCTAATGGTTTAATTGTATTCACAAGATTGGCGAGAGTGTCCTTATAGCCATTAAAATATGGCCTCACTATTTTGGAAATAAAATAACGGACGATCAAAACCCCAATTTTGTGTGATTTTTCTAGTTTTTTCTCCATGTTTACTATACGTCATTTTTTAAATACTAATAATCTGTTAAGAGAACACGTCATTATATGAAATTACGAACAGCTGTTTTTATAAGATTCCTTTTTCTAGCTGTCACTGATATGTTTACATAAATGTTGTTTACGAATACTGTGTAGGCCCTAACCACTTCCGATTACGTTTGTAACCTTTTCCGATCACGTTTGTAAGCAAATCCAAAACCAAGTGAGATTAATAACCGTGTGGCTTTGGCTTGCATAACGGGTTTGATTTATCACGGGGTACTAATATGTAACTGTACATTAAATTAAATAACTAGCCATCATCCAGGTCGGGAACCGGATTCTGTGTGTATCAAGTTGTACTTGAGTTTTGATTACCGGGAAAAGACCGTGAATCAGTGTTGTACAGGACTGGAAAACTTATCTTTCTATATAAATAAAATTAGAGTTTTATAAGTCACCTCAATTTAAGGAATTTTTTATGCCAGAATATCTATATAGCGTTCGTAACCTCTGCTTAACGAATTGTCAGTGTCTTTCTCTTGATATAACGATCCCCTCTCCCTCCCTTTGGAAACATCACAGCTCCTTTGATGAAAATGAAACGACGCTTGCGCCAACAATCGTCTGCTCCGTTTTACACTTCACTGTCTGCTGTGCGCTATCACAGACAAGGGTAAACAAAGGCGCTATGTTACAACAGATTTCAGATGCAACAGCTGGGGAATGATGAGATATAAATTCTTAGTAAATTGTGATTGAGTGTTAAGTAACCATGGTAACCTTAGTAAGGCTGTGATAGGCCAATGAGTCGGCCTAAATATGGCGACTTGTTGAATTTGTGTATTAATTGAAGATAAACCTAATAAAGGTTGTTCTCGTTACATTCTTTTTTAAGAGTGTTTTTATTATCTCTAAATATAATTTTACACTTTTTTATTACTTATCTATCAATTTCTATGCTGTGTACAGCACCTACCGGTAGTCTATCTTCTAGCATGAGCAGTACCTTAATACTTTTAAAGGTTCCTTTAATATTTACGTTATTTATAGCAATGCAGTGTTTGGCTAGTTATTAATTGAGTTTGAGTTACCTATAATTTTAAACGTTTCCGTTTGTACAACTGAACCAAGATAAATGATTTGAAATGTACAATAATAATGTTATCGCACAATAATAATGATAGTGCAATCTTGAATTTCGTTTACAAAAATGCAAATCGTGACGTTAATGGCTGTTTACAACGTTTCAATGGGTTTGTCATCTGTTTTTATACTATATTAGATTAACCGTATTTTTCAATACCCACCCTCCCTATTAACTCAGGTAATCGAGTATCTACACAATAGTGTAAAGTATTGTAGCCTATGCTACTTGATTGTATTTTAACGAGCTTTATGTCAACAAAGCGTTCTGTGCTGAGTCGCGGTGTAGCTGGACGTGTCAGTACCACGCGTTATATTTTATCTATCACAGCATTTGAGCCATCCCGTGCCCTCCCTCTTAGATCTCACGTCTTCCTAATCTTGAATAATAACTTCATACACGAATCCTAAGCTATCCTAAAATCCTATTTTAACTAATTGAATTCAATAATATAACTATTGTCATTAATCGACTTTCTATCTGGCGACTTCGTAATATATTTTTGATTGTCGTCACGTTGAACACTGTTGCAACTAACTTTATCCACCCCCCCCCCCCATTTGAATTTTTTGAGCCCCCCCCCAAGAATTTCAATGACGCAGTCTGCGTCACAGCCCCCCCTTGTGGGCACCCCTGGTACAGCAGTTCTTTATTGTATACTGTATTTAATTTACAGTACTGTTTATTCACCATGTTTACTACTGTATTAAATAAACACTGTATTTTACTTTATAAAACATTTTTTCACTCTTCCCAAATTAATGTTGATAAATTTTAGCCATGTTTTAGCTATTGTTATGTAAAAACATCAATATGTTCTGTAATCCGAACTATTCAATAGTCCGAACTACCCCTGGTCCCAATTAATTCGGATTAAAGAGGTTCTACTGTAAAATGATTCCACTATAGAGTTGTTCAGCCGTCAAATAACTGCTCACAAAAAATGTTTATAAAACTTAAATAAATTTTAAAAATCTTTGTTATGGTATTGTTAATATTTCATAAGAATTAAAAGTACAGAAAAATGACAGCAGAATCTATTTTAACACGTTCGCTGCGGCACGTAAAATGGCAGGCGCAGCCCTCGGCGTCGAAAAAACCCGATTGCCGCGTGTGATTGGCTTTTCAATTTTGGTCTGACTAATGGCAAATAACGTGCGGGGATGTCCTGCTTTACAACGGGAGTCGACGTAGTTCGCTAAACATCCACAGATAGCAGCACTGCTTGGAACGTAGCCAGTCCCATTGGAATTGTATTGCCAAATGGAGGGAAAAATACGGGACAAAAAGTTGATTTTTAAGATTGCCAGACGGGGAAATTTACTACCAACCTACACCACAACTAAATGCAAGTCACATGACTACACGCTAACGTGGTATAGGTCTGCTTTCGGCCGACGTTAGAGCAAAAACGAAGATATACAAAAGGCATCCCGATGGGGTACGGACGCACCCAGTACGGGGGCCAAGCATCGTACCCGATCGGGAATGGCCGCACTCAATGTGTTAAGAAAACTCCCGACAAAGGTATGATTTAATTAAATATGTTCCTGTAACCTTGTGTTCTTGCAGCCCACTGTTTTTTTTTTTTTTTTATATTGCTTACCCCAAAATACTTTACATGGACAAACTTTTTATGACTTGCACAAAAAATGATAACTGTAATAGATATTGTATGATTCTTCCGCGAGCCTCAAGAGGTACAAATAAAACAAGAAGATAATATTTTCTTTACAATGCAAAATCCAAGGCTCTGAGCCTTTGGAGACCAGCTTGTCCGCCTAAAACTATGAATACAATCCACTAGAAAGCATATTTAAAGGGTAACCTTTGATTTATTTCAAAGAGTTTGTTTTCATATCCAAGAACTTCACACCATAGCAATATGGAAACACCAGCCAATTCGATCTCCAATAGCTACATCTACATGTCCATAAGTAATTAAGGGCCCTTTCAAACAAGGCCACTAGTGGCTGCCACCAGTTACTGGCCTGTCCGACTGCAGTTGTTGGTACAGCAACTGACAAGCCACTCTATCAACAGCCACCGTAGGACTAGTTGATAAATTGCTGACGAGCAGTGAACATCTTCTAGCGTTAATTTTTAAATTCCCGGGTACTTTTCAACCTTGCAAATTAGATCCTCGGTATTATAAATAATCACTAATTCTGTTCTTTGTTTTTTTCCACAACTTCACCTTATTTTTCTTCTGGTCGCTGATTTTTTCTACACAAACAAATGAACAGTTCAACAGGAGACCATTCCACAAATAGCACAAGTGCGTTTGTATCTGCGCTTGAACTAGCAGGTTACTCCATAATAGTTTATACCCGCGCTTTTGTTGTGGCAGCCACTGGCTTCGTCTAAAAGGCTCCCATTTAATTCAATGCCCCACTATGAGTTGACGACACTGCGGTTGCTGGCTTGCAGTTGCACAAGGAGACACTGCACGGCCACTGTGTCCTGGCAGGCAACTGCAGTGGCCGTGTCTGAAAGTCCCCATTTAAAACAATGTGTAATTGTGGGGTGGCCGCTACCAGTGGCCTTGTGTGAAAGGGGTCTTAATGACATCATATGTTTGTGGAAGTTTCATTTACCCCATCAGGATAACATCTATGAAACATCTTATGCTATACAGTTTTCACTAGGTGATGCTAAACCGCGATGCCTTTTGTCAGCTAGACTTTTACAGTTTTTAATAGCCAGCTACGTTAGCTATCAAGCAAAGTTGAAAGTTCTTTGTCCTAGCCAGTGAAACAGAAAAGTTTACTCAACTATGAACCAGACTGTATTGCTTATCCCAAAATATACAGCTTTTATGCATATGCTCTAGGGAATTAGTTCTACGTTTACTTTTTAAGTCACACATATCAATCCATGACCATTGAGAGGTGTTTTTTTTTATCACACATTGTTGTAATTTCAATTAACTTAGGGTAAAGTTCTTATGAATTTCATAAATCAAATGCTTATCAAAACCAACAGTAAGTTTTACAAAAAATACTATTTGATTAAAAATACAGCTAGCCGACTGATTATTTTGGTGCTCGCCTTCAAATCTGAAGGTTGTTGGTTGGATCCCAAGCCTCTTATCTGAACCTGAACACTTTCGTGACAAAAACTTAAACAAATTTCAATAGCTTATGCTTACAAAATAAAAAAACACAAAATACGGTAAATTATTTATAATTACAGATATTATTTGAAAATCTTAAAGTTATTCCTGTAGCGACACTATTTCTCAAGTTTATAAAATGTTCTAATTTTGTAGTTAAGCTGTAAGAACAACTTATGAAACTGTTTATACCAGGTATTAATTATCAACCAATGTTATCCACATGAAGGATTAACAGCGAGCCTAAATTCTCAGTAAGTACAAGATTTAACAGAGTAAAGGAATGTTTTTTTTTTTAACTCACGAAGTATTGCGAGTAATGAACCTTACTGTTAAAATATTTGAAATATTCGATACTTCAAAATATCCAAAAGGTATCAAAAACCATCTAAGTAGAAATAGTTTCTAACATGCATTCACTGGTTTCTGAAGTCTGTCCCTTTCCCGGCAGATTGCCAGTCTATTAGTTATATATTAAGTACACACTTTGACAATAAAGCACTCTCCCCTCCCTTCCTTTACTCCACTCTGGGACAGCAAATATTCATGATGGGCTAGAGGCTCTCCGCGGTCAAAGCACTTCGAGACTAACCTCAAACACATTCTTGTATCCTCTCATCTCCTACCGAGTGCCTACATAATCTACGTGAATGTGATTAAATAACCTTCACATAGTTTTAGACTAGAGTCTTTTCTTTACTTAATTAATTGGGAGTGTAAATAAAAATTTAAATCCTCAAAAAGTGACATTTTTTACCTTGCTGACATATCCCCCCCTCGCCATAATTCTGCACATCCCCACAGAATAAATCATTCCTTGGTGATTGTTTGCAAAACATGGAATAGCCAAAACAATACAAAATAAAATTCTTAAAAAATATTTATTAGCTACAAAATATACAAAGTAAACTACACTTAAGACTACCATTAAAGCTTTATGATGATTTGCTTATGTTGTTTGCTGGTGTGTTGTACCAGTTTCGTATTTTCCTGTTGTTTCGTTACTAATTTAAATTTACTTAACTAACTAACTGCCAATTGATGATTTGCATTTCAGTTTTATAATACTTTTGGATTAGGTTTCATTATAAACCAACCATTACGTGGTAAACCAGTGCATATGACTGTGGTGTTTTACCAGGTACAAAGTAGTTTGCGGTACTGTTAGTTTATTTTTGAAATTTTTTAAGAAAACAATGTATCACAAGCAAACTGCTGAACACAATTCAAATGTTCCAGTTAAAAAATGGAATGGCTTTGTATGGCAAGAATGATGAATGTACCTACATGATTAAGTGTTATATATACAAATGATCGTGTCAACTTTACTGTCTACTACCAAGGAAATCCAATCAAACTGTCGCTTATTGACTCATTACAATTAATTCTGATAAAAAACCAAACTTACAAACACTCTTACGAATCAGTCTATCTCTTTCCTCCCTTCATGTCCTCATGTACATTCTAGTGTAATAAGTGTCAACACAATGTTCATGTTTGGCACACTAGAACCTTTGGCACTCAGGAACTGCTGGGACGTACATCGCACCTGCGTAGAGTTTCTTGGGCGACTCTCTCCACGAGATGATGTTAGCTTTTCTGAACGGATCCTCGCTGCACTGTGAACACACAGCCATGATGCTGCGCACCTCCCACTCTGCTGGCTCCATCTGCACCTCCTCCATGGGCGGAGCGTTGTTGTCGCTGCCATCGAACTTCACCCCTCCACTACCTAGGACGTAGCCGTTCCCGGGGAAAAGATCTGACAAATCGTCTCCTGGGATGAGTCCGTACTGTAGTTGCTCGTGGAAGAGTGTTCGTTTTTTGTGATTCTTATCTTCCATTTCCATATCCATTTCTCCCATTTCAGTGTTCTCTAATGTTTGACGTTTCTTTGGGTTCTCCTTCTTTTCTTCGACTTCTTCTAAAATCTCTTCTTCCCTCACTGGTTTACTCTTTGCTTCGGCTTTTTTTGTATCTCTTTTAACCTTCTTTGTTTCTTTGGGTTCAACCTTCAAAATGTCCTCTTGGACAATGTCGATGTCATCAGATTCGCTCTCGGTTTCTTCAGACTTCTTCCTACGTTTCCCTGGCGTCCTGGAACTCTTTGACTGATCTCTCTTGAAGAGTCGCTGTGAGCCTGGGAAGAGAAACTCCATCTGAGGGTTGTATGTCATGAACAGTCCAAGGTTGGTGTCGGCTTGGCCTCGGAAGGCTGACAAGTCGGTGACAGGCAACATGGGGATCAGCTGACCGTTGGAGAGGAAGGGGTGTTGAGAGGTCTGCGGAGGAGGTGGGGTAGGTGTAGGGGATGCAGAGAAGGGTAAGAGAGGGGAGGGAGAGGGAGAGGCTATGTCGTAGTCGTCCTGTCCTGGCTTGTCCTCGTGGTGGAAGTGATGGACGTGGTGATGCTTGTGGTTGGTGTACGCCTTACCTGCTGTCAGAGCAGCCTACAACACAAACAGCTAATGTAGGACAATATTACTGTATTTTAATAGTCATGGAACACACCATTGTTCCAAACATCATGTTATAGATAAAACTGATAACAGATCACATAAGTATGTATTACTTATGTAATATTCTAATTTCTAAATGTTCACCAGCAACATCTATGAGCTTCCGCTAACTATGTATTATTTTCTGTGTTATGCTGATTCAATGAAGGAATCTTTCTTCCATTCAAACTTTTCTGCAGTTTAAAATGTCTTGTCCCACAGCCAAACAGAAAAGAAATAAAGTCAAACATTTTAGTATGTTTTTTTCTCATTGCAGAAAAATATTAACATATAATTTCCTACCCTCCTCTATTATTTGTTCATGCATGTAAATTCTATCAAACATTAAAAATAGAATATGACTCTGTAAGGTTTTTTTTTTTTAATAGAGGCTCTTCCAAAAGCTGTTTCTTTCAGGAGCTAACTACAAAATACATTTACAATGTTATTTACAATGTACAAGTTGTAATTGTATTTCTTTCAAGTTAGTTGGTTTTGATCAGGATTATGTATTAACATTTTCTTATATCAATATACTGATGCTGAACTTTATTTTATTTACTAAAGGAGTGTTTGACTATAAACATCTTCACTTACCTTGTACAATTGCACCAATGTGATTTCTCCAATCAGTCCAGACACCTTGTTTCGAGGTACTTTCCCTCTGTTACCGGAGTTGTATCCCTGCTGCTCCTGTCCACTGATCGCCATTCCTCCACCTTTTATAGGTTTCCCAACAAGCTGAAAAAATTCATTGTTAGATTCCTACATTCCACCAACATAAAAAAATCAGATTCTCAGTGTACAGAAATGACTCAATTACTTGTGTGTTTCGTCTCTGACCGAAGAAGTCCTGGATAGATTTTATCGATAGTAAAACTACATACTAGTATATTTGTTTTGCTTGTTGGGTTTGTTTGTTTGAAGTTTTTGCTGAAGCAATCTCGACACCTAGAAGCATTGGTCCAGTATTAATCATACATTAATCCAGCTTCGCTTTGCCACAGAGACTGATTAACCCAACAGGAAGAGCTGTTAAACCGCAAGCACCAACATTGTGATTCATAACACTGCTACATGTGACAGGTTTCTCTTACTACCCATTTAAACCTCCTCTAGTTCTGAACAACTCTACTGGAATTTTGAAACAACTTTGAAACCTCCCTGACATTCACACATTTAACATTCTATATCTTAGCCAGGAGAGCAATGCTCTAATTCATTCAATTAAGAATTGGACTTTCTATGAACAATTAAAGCAATATAACAAGTCCAATACCAGTATTGAATTCTTTAAAACTATTCAAGTTAAATAAGAAATCTTTAACAAATTACTTGAGTATTAACATTTATTTATACAATGTGGCAGTGATGGGAGATTAAGTACAACTTCAGCACCTTGTTGTTGGGCTTACAATAATGAATTCTCACTGAAGAACTAACTATTCTTTTTGCAAGGTTACAATACACATCTCATTACCTTTTCAGCCTTAAAATACACATTAAAATTCACATGATTTAAGCATGATTCCAAAGCATGTCACCTTATAATCTCTGCCATTTTAAATCGCTGAATACGATGTTTCTACACGTCTATGCAAAATAGATGTAGATATCTAAACAAGTTGTTACCAAGTTATGGAAGCCTCTGCCGATGCGCTCAGCGTTGACCCATATCTGCCACTCTCCGGTCTTCCCGTTCCACGACTGACACACGTGGTACCACTTGTGCATCCTCAGTGGATAGTTCAGTCTGTAGAGGGTCTGGCCATTGACAGCAAACATGTAGAAACTAGACGAGTCAGAGTTGGCCACCCAGGAGAATATTTCTCTGTTCTTTTCTCGGTCTAAAAAAAGCAGTTTTTGATAAATAGACTGAAGAGATGGCTTGAAATTGAATAATTTATTTTCCAAGTAATCTTTGTTTCACTTACGTCCGTAGTAGAAGAGGGGGTGGTCTTGTGTATGGTTGTAAACTTTGTGCCAAAGACAGAGTGTGAACTCCTTCAAATCTGGAATCTGCGACTTGTACTGGACATACTGAAAAAATAGACCTACATTTAAAACAGAAGACTTAATTTGTTATATGTTTGCATTTAAGTCCCAAACACAGAAAAGGGTCCTAGTACAGTTGAACTACTATAATACGAATTTCCAAGGGTAGGGGACAAATTCGTATTATCGAGGTATTCTTAATAACGAGGTTCTTATTCTTGTCTTGAGGTTTAATACTGCAGTTATTCGTCTTATAGAGGTTTCTCCTCGTTCTGAGATAACCTTTATAAAGGGATGGTTGGGGGTTTCATGTTGAGACAAGCTTCTGTTTGTTTTGAAAACTACGTATTATTGAGGTTAAGATCATGAAAAAATCCTCTTATAGAGGTCGCATTCGTCTTGTAGAGTTTTTGTGCTAAGAATATTCATTGTATAGAGGTTAATCGGTCCTAGCCCATGTCACAAACAAATTATTCTTATAAGGCTTTTAACCTGATTACTACGTTGTATTTTAGGATTGACCATTATGAAATTTTCAAGGGGATTTAAACTAGATTTGTTTTATATAGGAACTTGTTTTACTGAGGTTCGACTGTACTCATATATGACTTTACTTTCAATGAAGCTGAAAGACACATATCCGTTTACTGTTTAAATATTTACAATCTAAATATGTTCAGCTGTAGGAAAAGAACATCACCAGCGTTTTCCATTATCACAGAAATTTTATCGTCACCCTCTTGATTGCGGCGAAATATAGAGCACCACAAAATTACCACCCTAGTGAATGACCGTTTTGTATAAAAAAACTTCATATTAAGCGTTTTGTTTTGCCTAGTCTATCACAAACGGTAAGAGTAATGTTGGAGCCTGATTGAAATCCACCCTTTTACTAATTCAAAAAGAGATCATCAATTATTCTTTTGTAGCACAAACAAAAAGTTTTTTTGAACTAGTTGGTCTTCATAACTCTCAATATAGCATCTCGTACAAGCAAGATTTGTTGTATTTGTCATAGTTCTTTGATTTTTAAATAAAACTTGACATATGTATTATTTGTAATTCACAGAAAACATGTTAAGACACAATTCTATGTAATAATTTTAGGATCAAAATCCTAACCAACAATTGCAAAATAAAAATAGTCGGTCATTTACTGGCCATAACTTGGGTACAACCAGTGAATCATTAGGTCATTAACTTTTCGGATGATTTTTCTTTCAAGGTTTTGAAAACAATATTTTCTGATGGTTAAAGTGCTTGCTACAAAATATGGATATGCCATATGAACACAGCATTTGACTGTATGGACAGAATTTGACCGCAATTCAAAGGTTACGGCACTTTACCACATGTAAAGTGATAGAATATTCACTAGAATCTATACCGTAACTAAACAAACAAATATGTATACATTCCTTTCATTAAGTTCATTCATTGAATGAATAATTTAATTTTGCTTTAAGAAAAGCAATACCTAAACAATTTTCCTCATTACAATCGATAGTTCCAAAGTGTTCAAAATGTTGATAATCATATTCAATCTAGTATTCATTGATATAATCCCAACAGACCAAATAAATAATAATTGATATCGTAAAGAAAACTGAAAGCAAATTGCAACTTATTTCAGGAGCTAATAAACTGGAGAAGAATGAAATTGTGTTTTGTAACTAGTTGGCCCAATTATTTGTGCAGTGGGACAAAAACATAGTTCATCACATGGGAAAAGTATTTTCAACTAATGCTCATTTTCTGACGGAAGAGATGAGCTCATGCTGAAACGAGTCATTCTAGTCCCAGGTGTGGAAACATACTGCAAATAAAGAAGCGTTTCTTAGTGATATTTTCATCTTTTGGACCTTTCAAATGCTCCTTTAAATGATACTCTAAAATATATAATGAAATTCTCTAGTTTTATCAACTTCCTTCGCTAATGTCAGTTACTTTCATCAGCCATTTCTCAAACTCTCAGACTCTCTGACTCGGACTGTACCAACTCTGTTCAATGGCCATGAAATTTATGTCTTGTTTGCATTTGGCTCAACTAATGCTAACTTACACGTCTCTGTAAGCAAAGAGAAATCACCAAGTGCTGTAATTAAGCCATTATGTGTTAGGGGTTGTTGATCAAACATACCATATTACTGGGTATTAAAGATTGTATTTTTTGTGGTGTGTATTTGGGCTTTTAGTTGAAAATACAATCAATTATTTATATAAACTAGTATTCCATAACAAGGTACTTGAAATTACCCCTGTACCTGACACAAAATGTTGACATTGATTGGATAACAAATTATTTCATAGATGGATTGCTGAAATCACCCGTATTGAACAGCATGTATTGCACTACACAATAGATCAATAGCTTAATCTGCTGAAGGTGGTCTGGTCAGTAACTCATGAAAATTAATGTGAGGCGATCCATCTAGACCTGAGAGTGGAGAGAAACCCTGCAATCAGTCTGCAGTTGCTGCGTTCTGCAGAATTGCATAAAGAGTAATGGATGGTTAAATATACATTGTGCAGTCCATTGCCTGCAGCCTCGACAATATATTCTGTAGTGCTGATAGTACAGCCTTAACTTGTCGATTCTACTGAAATATGTGTTATGCATTTAAGTTTAAAAAAATAGACTTATTTACAATTTTTAGCTTTGTAGATAGTTATGAAATATTACTGGCAGAAACAGCATTTGACAATTTTACTTCAATGTTTTCAGAGACGGATATCTATCAAAGATTTTACTATAGGAAAGGGGGAAGTAGAAAAAAAAAATGTTTTTTAAATTATGTTTGATCATTTTTATGTGAAAGGTAAAAGTATGTGCTCTCGATAATTAATCAACGCTGCTTTTAGATGTTTTAAAACTAGACCAATCGTCCTTGATTATTAAAATTATCCTAAAAATAAAGAACCTGATATTAGTCAGTAACAAATCTCTATCTTGTCAATCATTCAACACTTGTCTTTGGCTTGGTATATGCATCCTGGTTTGTCGGCTCTAAATACTGCTTGTCAGAAATTTTTTTCCGCTACCAAGTACAAAATTTGCAATTAATATATCAGCATTTTATTGAGGTGATCATTAAATATGACATCCTGCAGTCTGTTGTTACTGTGACTACTTGAGTTTACCTGTTGGAATGTGTCCTGGTCCATGACGGCTTTATACAGAGTGCAGACTCCAGGGTGATGGGCAGAGTGACCACGGGGGTAGTGGGGCTGAGGGTAGCCCAGAGCACGGGGGCCCAGAGCGGGGCCTAGAGTGGGACCCGCAGTAGGGCCTAGTATGGGCCTCCACCCTGTCTGTACTGGCAGTACTGCCGGTGCCAGCACCGTCAGCAACAGCACTAGTGGTAACCTGTAACACAATATAGATACGTTTATTTTGGAGGCCTTACAAACTTATTGCAGGTTTAAGCAAGTGGAATGTATTTATTAATTTACCCACAATCAAAGTATACTGTATGGTATAACACACAAGCAATGGCTAATGCAAAACAACCGGATTTTTTCATGTGGAGATATGGTATTTCCCATGGTTTGCACTAAATCAAAGCTATAATTGGTAATCTTCATCCACTAAAGTGAAGTCATTCTGGTACAGGAAATCATCATCAACCAAAGTTGTTCTGGTATAGGAGATCTCCATCTACCAAGGCTCAGGAGACCTCCACCCTCTAAAGTCATATGGTACTGGAGGTGGAGATCTCCATTTACTAAAGTCATTCTTGTACGGAAGATCTCCATCCATGAAAGTCATTATGGTACAGGAGACCTCCACCCTCTAAATTAATGTGGTACAATACTTTTCCATCCACCAAAGTCACTCTGGTACAGGAGATATCCATCAATCAAGTCATTCTGGTGGAGAGATCTTCATCCTCTAAATTCATTCCATAATTTTATATCTGTGGTATGGGGTTCAAAGGAGTTGGCACTATCCGGCGTTAAAGCAATTTGTGGAGAGTGGATTTGATGATCGATAATGTCAAGTAACCAAAAGTATTCACTTATAATTTACACACACATCCTACTATGCTTTTATAAGTTAAAATAAACAAATCCATCTTTGACAAATGATAATTTTTTAGTCTTAAAGGAATTGCTTGGTGTGCATCACAATAGTATAGACCAAAATCTATGAAACACAAATTTCAAGGAATCATTTCCGTGTTACTGCAGGGAAAGATGAAACTCGAGCGTCAACATCAAATAGATCACAACAACAGATGTTTCCCGCGGCTAAGCACGACCTAGCGGCCAAAGTCATAACCTCGGATGTAAACATTACCAGATAACCTTGCCCGTGACCCCTGCACTGCACACGACACAGTCAGCAGTCAGCCGACTTTGACTGTAAACAAACCGTTACTTCCTCCCGCTAACTGCTGAGTTTGTTATAAAAACAACGATGGATAAAATAAATCGTCAGCTGTCTGAGTACCGCCTATTGTTTACTGCTCTTATTGCTATGTTACCCCGAATTGATCAGAAGTATGGAGTTGTAATGGAACGATGCTATTGGTATTTAATGAGTGGAAACTTTGCTATTGGTGGTTTCGGACTTCAATTTGGAAGGATGGACAGATTGTAAATTAGAAGGGTGTTCTTTTTTAGTGAATTTCAGATTTACTTTCCCATTTTGATGTCCTCGAAGGTCAAAAACACCACCATCCGTTCAAATTTATAAACGTCAAATGGCCCTATTAATGGAAATTTTTTTGGTCTGTAGGATTGCTGCAGCGGGGTTAGTATATCCTTAGGAAGGATAATACAAATGTCGAGACTGGGAATATACCGGGGTTTGGTGGTTCCCTAAATAAATCATAGAGGTTCTTATCCAGGATATAAAAATCATGTTGAGTTTTGTATATTCTAGTTTTAATTTTGGAGAAAATGGCCAGGATTTAAATTATTTTACTGTAATGCTTTTCCTTATAATATGTTGGTTCAAATAATTTCGAAACCCACTTCAGTTATGTGGATGAAAGTCGTCCTTTGATTCTGCTAAAAAAAAAACAAAAAAAAAACTCGATTTTCAATACCAAAAACCCTAATTGTTGGTTGATTCTCTCCAAACTTAAACGTAACTTTACTGTACTACTGTACTTTGTGTGGATACTCTCTATTCTGAAGACGTACGGAAGTGTTGACCGGGAAAGCGACGATGATACGATGATTGAGGGATGGTTATCTCTACTGTGGTGGCACTACTGCTGCCGTTATCTCTGCTGTGGTGGTATCACTGTGCCGGTACCGCACAAGGCACTTAAACATTCCCCACAAAGTCAAGTTCACTTTCACCTCTTCCGGTTCCCTCTGCGATTGTCTAAAGATGGAAATGTACAAAGGGTCCCATCGACTACAAACTGCTACTGATAACAGGGAATTTGTTGGAATAAAACAGGAAGCAGATATATTTGACAAAAGGCATTTTGGGGCACTAATCAGCTGTTGTAGTCATCTGTGTAGTTACACCAGGGACAAGGGTTGAACAGTATTACAGGTGGTTGCGATATGATAAGCCTAGGAGATTTTGATCTTTGGACTAAGGATTAATAAGGGTTTGCTGTAAATTTGACGGAAAAACTTTCTTCGATTAATTACCGAAGTACGGAAGTGTGTTGCAAAAAAACCGGGAAGTATGAAATTTCCATTGAACACCGTCCAAGACCGACCTTGTGTGCTCAGTTTGGGTTTCAGGTCGTTATTATTTGCCCAAATTGAAACCCGAGCCGTCGCCACTAACCCATACAACAACGGAGCCTCCGTGTTTCCCACGTTTTTTCTCATTAACCGTGCAAAATGAAACTGACTTTCTCGCCCAAGACCGTGTGTCTGGTAAAATCACTGGACATAATTTGATTAGTTGATAATAATATTTCTTCTTCCAACACGTTCATGCTCGAGTTTTTTTTTTTTTTTTTTTTTTAGTTTGTTATTTTGTTAGATTATGTTTTCTTATACTATAGACACCGAGAATCATCTGAAAACTATGTTGTTTATTTCGTAAATGTTATATAGAGCACGACGGATTACCATTAATATTGAAATAAAATGTTTATGCATGATTGTTCAAAACGGTTGAATTAAATTGAAAATTGATTTGATTTTATGATGCTTTGTCTTCGCACCAAAAAGAATATTGAGATAAATTGTTCAAGTCAACATCGTCACAGGTAAACCAAACTTTTAAACACATTGTAAAATGACAACGTGTAAACACCAGCGCGTTGTCCATGTATTAATTATTCCACCCATTTTAAACCTTTTATTTTAAATATTACATGGATTAAGGAAAAAGTAAAATATTTCAATTATTCTCATCGCAATATCGTACAAATGATAGCAGTTCAACACGATAGGTTCGATTTGAATTCTAAGCTGTGTTGAGAATATCGTTAGACTTTTATTAATTCTGGCTAAAGAAACAATTACAACGAATTGGTTACAACAAAGATTAATATGTACAAAGCTTTAGCTATAAACCATTCCATATTTATATTCAACACACATTTAGATTAAAATAGATCATATTTGCATCTTTATTCTAGATAATAGTTATTAAAGTTTCCGTAGCGGTACTGTACGTGAAATTGAACAAATCTATACATAAATTTGTGTATTTACTGCATGAAATTAACGTAAACCCTTTTTTGACAAATTCTCTTTTAGATAATGAACTTTTTCGATTCTAATAACATTGAATCAACTTTTGAAACTTACTTTCGTTCCTATAGGCGTGGCCTTTAATCAAGGACCTTTGAGCAATTCTTTTGCACCTTTTCCTTATAGATTCTTTAAGTTTGAATCGCGAATCATAAATATAAATCAGTGACAAAGAGAGACATGCGGGACTGGTCTAACGCCGTTCTTAATTGTTTCTTAGATTTGACAAATAGTGTTACGTCTTAGTTTACACTTACACTCGTTCACACGTAGGAGACAAAACATTTATGTTTCAAAGCATTGGAAAATGTCAGGGTAAATATTTTTGCGATACCGTACATATTTAATGATGCTGGATGCCTGAGAAACTCCTGTGTTTGGGTTTGTCAGTTTCACCAACGTGCGGATGAAGACTGTTATAGATTTGACGCGGGGATCGGGTAAACCGCAATTGTCTGGACAGTTCATATCACCAGTAAGTGTATTACACGCTATATTTGGTTAACTTTTCATACGTCAAAACGAACATGTAAACACAATTGTTGGAATTGCTAAGTGTATAAGCGTTAAATATGCACTATTGTTTTGTTTGTGTGTTTAAAGACGTTGCGTTATTTAGTTTCGTTCAATTCCCAATGTGTTATGTCTTTGAATGCTAGGGTCGTCCATCTCTTTAACTACAATTAACTATAGTTTTGTACGATTGGAAACGCGTTGTTTCTCGGTCAAAACTGCTTCTGGTCCTTGAGGTGCCCTTGAACATTAGTGATTGTAATGAGAACTCGTCCATTCAGATTACACACGATCGCGAAGTCCCTTCCAAGTACAGCAGAGTGTCCTTGCCAATGATTGTGTAAATTAACATTGTTCACCTGCATTGTATTATCTATGTTTTAATTTACTATGAATTATCTGCGTTGATTTCAGTTTTGCGTTTATAATTTTACGTTTTCAATCGTTTATACATTTTTGATAGTAAATTTTCCGTCGAATATTTATGTTCTGCCATTTATTGTCGTTGATTTTGCTATTAATCATCGATTTTAAACTGACCATTATCGTTGTTCTATTGTTGATAACTTTGGTTATTGATTGTGTATGTTTAACTATCAATTACTGAATATTGTCGTCTTGAATATTACTCTTATTGTCGATTATAATTGTTCTAAATGACAACCCAACAATGACGACCCTCGTTCCCAGAGTTCTTGAAACCAATCTATTTTGAAATTCCTCCCCAGCAGTTCCCACAACACATCGTGTAGTCCCGGTATCTGCCAGTGATACGAGACACGCCTATCCTTTATCCTGCAGGATGCTGGAGGATCTACCAAGGTCCTTCACTCCTTTGTCGTCGCCTCCAGACTCTACAGTTGAGCAAGTCTTATGATGACGTGGGTTGTCATTGGCCGGTCTCAGTTGTCAGTTCTCATGATACAACAATGCTGTGACTCACTGATCATATCTACGTGATAAGTGGGTGGAAATCTTGTGTAGGATCTATCTAATCCCGCTTGTCTTTTGTAGGAAGAGAATTTGCAATTTATGAACGGATTAATGTTTAAAACGCGATAGGGATTTTGCGTGACAAATATTTGATACAGTGCGTGATTATCTGTGAGGTGTTAAGATATAAAGGGAATCTCCGTTCAAATTGGAGTTGATTAGTAACATTGATAGTTCTTGCAA